TTTGGATATTTTGGCTCTTAAGCCCAAAACAATATCTTTCCACAATTTAGTCCTTAACTGAATGCTAAAATATCACAAAATTTCGGGGTATTACATCCACCCCTCCTAAAAAGGAGTTTTGTCCCCAAAACTCAAATTGAGGACCACATCAAGTGGTGAATGGCTTCACCCAATCCAAGACAAAACAAATGCCTCATCACTTTCTAGGAACAGAACACGGCCTATTACGCTTCCGCTGCGCCACTCTGATAACAAATCACGACTAATCTTAAAAGGCAAAACATTAATCACTTAACAGGGTTTACCATGAAATGAGCTACTAGAGGCTGGGGTGACATGAGAAACACAAGGAATAAAAATAAATCCTGCCAAAGCCACAAAAGAAACAGTTGTGGGGTTACGCTTTGAACCCAACACAAGACGAGTTAGCAAAGAATGGCATGGATTTAAAGACAATTACAACAAAATTTCAATTCTATCAAAGATGGATAAGCATCCAATGGATATATGGATCATGTATGAATGAACGAGTGCATGGATGCCTTATGAACTCTGCCACAAAACAAGGTTAACCAGAACCAAGATCATATTTAACAAGGCAACTGAAATCAAGAGACAGATTTTAGCAATTAACAAGAGTTAAAAGCTAGACCCATCAATGACGGGTAAGAATCTCAAGAATTGCAACAGAATAAATCAATGGAAAATATGAATGCTTGGAAAAATATTGGAACACAAGAGTGCAAGGTAGAATGCCTCAAAATTCAACAACAAAATGGCATTCACCAAGAATCAAGATCAAATTTAACCAAGCAGTCAAAATTGAGGGACAAGAGTTAACCATGAAATAAGCAATAGAATTCAAGAATTAGACCCACAAAAAGATTTCAATAATGACAACTAGAACACGAATTCAAGAGCAGATATAACTAGGATGTCAAGATCTAGCACCTCAAGTACTAGAATTAATTAACAGAACAAAGCAATGGCTGGAATCAAGATGCCTAGAAGATTCATGTCTCCTAATTAAAAGGGCAAACAAAAATCCAAACAGCCAAATAAAAGAACCATTTCTCTTGGAACAAAACTCTAGGGCAGCAGGTACTTCAAAGAATACCCCTTTCACCTCGTAGCTCATGGAGGCTACAATCTGCTTAGCCTAGACATTCTAGAGTCAAGTCAAGCTAAGACATCAAGAATACAGAGACTAACACTTGTGAGAGACAGGAATTAGGATGCCTCACATAGATATCTTCTGATAATCGTCACCCCTCCTAAAGAGGTGTCCATATGAACAAAAACCAAGAATCAAGAAGATCAACAGGTATACTGAAACAAGAACTAACAGAATATGCGGAATTGAGCAAGAGCAGTATACAGAATTTGAGCAAGAGCAAGAGTCAAGACAAGAACATTTTCAAGGTCAACTCAAAATAGATTCCAAGAACAATGCAAGAATTAATTTCAAACAAGTATCAAGATAATGAGGATTCCAATCATCATTATCCATTTCCTGGATTTCAATTTCAAGAACAAGTACAAAGCAATCTCAAGAAGGATTCAAGATGGATTTCAAGAGTTTTAAGCAATTTCAGGTATCAAGAATGTAGAGATTGGCAACAATAGAGAGTTTAATTTTATGATAGCTTGCCAATCTTCACAAAAAGACAACAATTTCAATTGAATGATCACTGCTCTTGATTAACCAATTTAGAAAAATGAGCCACATGAAAAGACCATGAAGCTCCAAATGGAAAAAAGTGAAACTTCACTATAACACTTTCAGAAGATAAGGAGCAACGGAATTACCAAGTTATCCAGCTCCTAAAGCGCAGCTAGAAAACACACAACATTTGCTAAAATAGCCTGGAATCTCTTGCAAAGTAGAGGGTTTACCCATCCTTCACTGGTCATGTGACAAACAAAACAAATTCTCCACCAGCTATGCTGTAGAGACTAACAAGAGCAATAACAAAAATCTCTGCAACTCCCCAGATTTCACAATTGTGCAAAAGAGCACACAAAAATTCTATTCACGTAACAAGCCTAAACAAGTGCGGACTATCAGAAAATGACCAAGTTTCAAAACAAGGTCTTCAGGACATAACGGGCAAGATTACTTTCACAACTTCACACAGAGTATGAAGGCAAGAAACAAGAACAATCAGATATCCATCTCATCAGAATGGATTAGAATATTCAGACAACACGAATCAGAATCGTCCCTTATATAACCCCATCACTCGTCTCACCACGGGTCTAAAATCAATTGGCTAGCCAAGTCCAAAACAAATCCTAGGTATTCAATTAAACCTAGGCTCGATATCACTCAATCTGCTCTAATGCCACTCAATCTAGAGGTGCTTAATTTAATCTTAAGCTCTTAATTTCAACCTAAGCTCTGATACGATACCACTTAATCTCCAGATATCTAATTTAACCTAAGCTCTGATACCACTAAATCTGTCACGCCCCAGAACCCAAATCCGAGGCGCAACAGACGCCGTGCACTCATGAGACGGGTCCCACAAATGCACAAGGCTCGGAACTTATCACATTCACACTCTGATACCATCAAAATCTGAAGATCA